CTCTTCTTTTATCATTTCTAGCCAGAACTCAGGGGAAAAAAAAGTTTGGTGGTAGATGATTTCAGAGCTTAAATTATAAAGGTGAAGGATTTTCTCCTTTCAGCAGTCTTTCCAAGCTTTTCTGACCAAGAAATTTATTTCACTTAAAGGACAAAAAAACCCAAAAAAACTTCTTGTGGAGCTGAAGGGAAAATGAACAGTTATGTAGTATCAGCCAGAAATAATCTAAGGGTATAGGAAAAAGTTCCAGAGTTGATTTTTTAACCAATGCTCCAGTCTTTGTGGGTGTAAGTGCTGGATTTAATCAATAAGCGAAAGTGAATATAGATGCTGCATTATTAATAGCAATAATTAGCAAAACAGCATTATAATGTAATTATAATAATTAAATTTTGTTATAATTAATATATGTTGTGGAGTTTGCTGAACTTTGTCTTTACTCCTACCAGTGTTTGAAATATGATATTGTAGTTCCCTTGTGTTAAAGAGGCTGGATTCTGTCCTCACATACAAATGTGTAATTTTAATGAAGTACTGTCAAATGATGCATTTTAATTTGAAAATTATAGCTACCCCTAATATCTTGCCAAATTTATCATCAAACAGTTGATTTGTATATTTTTAAGGCATTTTTATTTGTTTTTTTATTACAGTGGCAATTGTTTTGGATGAATTTAGAGAAGGCAGCCCAATACATTTCACATAAACAATACATTACAGAGAAGGAGTGTTCACATTTCTGCATGACAGAATGTTTTTGTGCTTGCATAATTAGGAAATGGTTCTGTATGATGTATTCAGGAGTCCTGGATCATGATTTTAAAGTTTGCTAACTGTTAGAAAAATTGATTCAGAAACAGCTTTAGAAAAACCAGCATGCTATTGCACACATTCAAATCTGATACTGTACTAGTGTAGAGTGAGGATACATTTAGGATACTTGGGTATGTTATTGTCTATCATTTTAATTCTGAAATTTTAACATAGTAATACAGACTGCTTGGGGAGAGGAGGGAAGGGCACATTTTGGAATGAAAATTATTAAAAATTTCTCAAGCAAATATTTTGATAGGTGAGTGCAATTAAAAGTAAAGACATGTCTCAGGGGAGGGAATGCAACATTGCAAACAAACAATGTAGCAGATACACAAGATTCATGGAAGATGCAAGAAAAATTCTGCACTGCTATGAATTAGCCTTTTTTTTTTAAAGTATTCAAATTCACACCTTATGCAGCATTTCAAATATTTGTATGTTTAAGTAGTTGCAACTCAGATCACCAGTTTATTAGTCCAGATTTTTTTGTATATTTCTTAATTTTGAAATGTGCTGGGCAGCATTTTGAAACCCTTAGTTTTGTCAGTTGAAAATAAAGTTCCAGGTTGTTGGTCTATTCTGATAGACATGTTTTGTGGCCAACCTTTTCATCACTCTTGTAGACAGGATTGCTCAAATAATCCAGCCATCTAGATACCTTACCTCTGACACTGTTCCTGGATACTAAAAACATAATAAAGATTACAGGGATAGCCGGTGGGCTGAATTGATTTATGGTGATATGACCTTGCCAGTGTTTGCAATCCCATTGTGAGTGCTGCGATATCAATGTATAATTTCAACTCCTGTCTCTCAGAGCTGTGTGAAAACTTGTCTGGACTATGGATTTCTTTGTCGAGACTGTGTGGCAGCACTGCTGCCTGTCATTATTTTAGCAAAGAAACACCATTTCTGGCGTTCCTGGTGGTGCTGGTGTAGGCCAGCTGTACAGCGGGTGTTAAATAAATAATTGCAGAGGACATCTTCTGTTTATGTTTTACATTGCTGACCTTATAATCGGGAATGTTTTGCACGGGATAGAGCTAACTCTGTCTGACGCAGGCCAATTCCCTGAGCGCTTGATGGAGAATGAGAGCTTCATTCAGCTGCTTTCAATCATCTTGTGGCAGAGACCCCCCCACAAGCAGGTGGGGGCTGCCTTTTGGTAACCTGAGGATGAGCTGGGGGTGGGAGGTGTCTGTGTCCAAATGGGGAAAGGCACCCACAAAATACCTTAGTTGAGCGCTATCCTCACCTTGTGTTTGCACTTTCCAGTAGGTTAGTAAGTCTGTAGCAAGATTATTTACAAAATTACATTATCAAATACATAAACATTGTGGTAATAGAATAGAAAGAAAGAAAGAAACTTTCAAAGCCCTACACGCTGGTCCCGTGTATCTCTTGTGCCATGTATTTCACAGCAAAACAGAAATCCTCAAAGCTGCATGTCTCTCTAAAAGATGCTTTTTGTACAGCTCTTCTTCAACCTTTCATCTGCGCATCTGCTTTCTCACTGACCGAAGAACAAGCACTTCCTTCTTTGCCTTGGTTAGATGATAAAATATTCTGTTTCTGCTGTGGTAGGATAAACTTTGCAACCCGAAACTCCCGGAAATCTGGAAATTCATAACAGACATGAATTTTGAAGGTTTGGCCATTTCCAAACCTACTGGTGCATGGGAACAACTGTTCCCTCTTATTCTGTCCCTCTCTGAGTGGATTAGAGGCTGTGGCTTCTTCATGCAACATTCATTTTTGGGTAAGGTTTCCCACAGCCCCAGTCTTTCCCTGGTTGGGACTGTTGGTTTGCAATCCAGGGATGAAGCTGGCAGGTGCAGGGAGCTGGTGCTGCCCGGCTCCTCAGCAGAATCCAAGGCTGTTGGTCTGAAGTGGCCAGAGCACTTCCAGTGCAGCAGTGCAGGGCACTGCTGGCATTGCCTTCCCCACACCCAGCAGCAGATCCTAGAAGCGAGCACCGAGCTGGGGAGAGCCAGCACCCAGGGCATGCCCAGCTGGTGGTGCAGTCTTGGAAGCAGTGCTCCAAACTTGGTCACAACATGAGGAGGCTGAGGCAGCTTCAGGGCTTGTGGCAGTGTCAAGTGAGGTGGTTTCTCAGGAGAAGGAGCCCGTGCCCTTGTCCAGCAGGTAGCCACCAGAGCTGGGAAGTGGCTGCAGCTGTTGGGATAAGCACACTGCTGCGTAGGCTTGCAGCACAGTGGAATTAGATTGCTGGGAACAGGCGTCATCTGTGGCTCTTGAGCTGAAAACATTATATGCTGCTGGCTTTTCTTTTTGAGACCATTGGGCAGGTCTTATTTGCATGCTTTGTGAAAGTTTTTGACAGTTTTGTAGCTACTTAAAGAACAAAGGGTATAGCTAGCTATAAAATGAAACAGTTGTCAGGACTGTGGTAAATGCCAGAAAACACACTGTGAGTCAGGACACTGTAGATGCTGGTGGCACAATGCAGCCTAGGCACAGGGCCATGCCATGTCCCCCAGTGGCAATGACTGTGTATGATCTCCTGGGCTGGGGTTTGTGAGGCCCTCCATGTTGTTTTGACTGTACTTGTGCCCTGACTCTCATTTGTAATCAAATTTACAGCAAACTGAGTTGTAAGTGCAAGTCAGAGAGTAAGTGATGGAAACCACATGGGAAAATAGAAGGCACCTCAGCTCTGAAGCTGAGCACTGGTGTCAGCCTGTGCTGGCAGGGAGTCATGTCATTACATAATTATGCATTTATCCAAACGGTGTTCTGTATTTTGGGAGACAGATGTGCCTTGCAGTTGCTAGTGGAAGTTAAATGTTAAATATGAAACCCATTCATTTTCTCTTAGTCATACTTTGGATTTCAGCAGATGTTTTCCTAATTTGTGGTTTTCAAATGTAGCATGCTGACAAGACATTTATCATTAACTACAGCTTCATCCATGCAGTTTAGCAAATTGGCCAATTATTAACAGTGAGGGTTGCGTGGTGGTTGATGCATAGTTCCTGCTACTTTGAAAGGCCTCAATTGAAACTCAATACATTTTTACAATATAAATTAATTGAGCTTTGGACCACATCCCTGTTGTGTGAGTGCTCTGTGCTCTCACTGTCAGAATGAACAGCCATTTGTAATGCACTGAGTAGCTGTGCTGTCTGTGAGCAGAGGCTGTGGAAAGTGAAGGATAACATTTTTCCAGGAGGAGCATGAAAATGATGGTTTGGTGGTGGTGCTGTGAACTGGTGAGGTGTCTCAAAGGTGTTTCCCAAACCACTGTATGCCTGAAAAATTAATCTCTTATTTTCCCAGCTCTGGAATTCAAGCAGGCAATTCAGTCATTTATTCATCCCATGTATAAGACTTGAAGGACAACATTCAGTATACCTCTTATTTCTAGGAAGTATAAAGACCTTAATTTTCACCAGCTGGTACTGCAGAAATTTTGTTTTGCATTCCAGCTGAACAGGGAAAACTCTTCAGGACAGCCTGTTTGTAGTTGCTTCTCATTTCAGTTTTTTTCCTCCTCTATAGTTGCATTTGCTCAACGGGAAACTACAGGCTTTGCTACAGAACAGGGTGCTGTGCAGATTAATAACACAAGAACTGTAGACAATTAAAATAAATGCATGTGGAATATTTCATCTTGCTTTATGCAGCCAGATATGCTAGGTGGGAAATACCTGTGGAGCTCACTTTAAAATCCCATTGGATGTCCTTTTCTTCACATCCTCCTGCTTTGTGGGAAAAGGGAATAATGGTGATATCACAAAATCAGTCAGGATCAGTGATGTCTCAGCAAGGGAGGCTGGAGGTTTGCATGAAGTGCAAAGAGGGAGAAAAGTTGCTGATTCAGGGATGGTGTGGGAGGCCTCCATTCCTGGTCTTCATTAGAAACTTAAGTCCTATGTGTACTTGAAATGAGTTGAAACTTTGATCCAGAGACTGATGAGGGATGAAATAAGGGTTTTAAAGCAAGATCTTTGGCATAGTTGTCTACCAATTAACTTTTTGATTGAAAGAGATGTGGCAGCAGATGTGGAAGGGAAGATGTGTGCTGTGGATACATTTTGAATCACTCCTTTGCTTTCCCTGACTTTGGATACACTAAATCTCTGGAAGCAGCTCTGTATCCCATGCTAGGCTTTAACAGGAGGTGAGCATAGGTAGACGTGGGGTGAATTTGGCTAACCCAGATGCTGATCCTTTGCAGTGCTGCCAAGCTCCTGGAGAAGAGTCCGTTCTCTGTCGGCGCCCCAAGCCCCCTGCTCCCCTCGTCAGCGAGCCTGCAGCTGGCTCAGCTCCAGGCACAGCTCACACTCCACAGGCTGAAGTTGGCTCAGACCGCCGTCACCAACAACCCGGCCGCTGCCACTGTCCTCAACCAGGTGCTCTCCAAAGTGGCCATGTCCCAGCCACTCTTCAACCAGCTGAGGCACCCCACGGTGATGAACGCCCCGCAGGGTCACACCACAGGCCCGCCCCAGGGGCCCGGCATCTCCGGCACGAGGTTCCCCTCTGGCGGCATTGCCTTTCCTGCCCAGAGCCCAGCCTTAGCCACCCCTGGGGGAGGTCTGGGAGCCGTCCAGGCCTCCAACGCAATTGTCATGAATCCCTTTGGAAGTGTCATGGCTCCGACCTCCGCACAGCAACCCGTGATGGTGGGTCTCAACAAGGCAGGTGCTTCCACGTCTACTGCTGCAGGGGGCTTTTATGAGTACAACAAGCAAAATGTCGTCACTGCCGCTTCTCAGGCATTCACCTCGGAGGGGGAACAGTCCAGCCAGCACGGCTTCCTTGCTGGTGGCGCCCACACTGCCACCTCAGCAGCAGGGCCGTGCTACGAGAGTCACTTTGGGGCTCCTGGCCAGCTGCAGCACGAGGCAGCAGCGACATTTCCCAAGGAGTCCTACGGGGCGGCAGCACAGCATGGGGCAGCACGGGCCTTCCCCAGCGGCCCACACACGGGCTCCCATCTGAAAGGAGATCCCGGCCCTGTCTTACATGGCAGCAGTACAAGCAACCAGTGGGAAAATATCCCTAATTTCCCCAGCCAAAACAAGCCTGACCTCATGCCCGGCGACAGCCTGTGGCCGTCAGCGAGTCAGCAGCAGTATGAAATAAGAAACGAGCTGTACAACCCCGAAGAGCCGACACCTGACACAAAGTTCAGCACAGCCGCCCCCCCCGCCTTCGGCCGCCTCAACCACAGCGCGCAGAGCTTCGGCAGCCCTCGCATGAGGCAGAAGGAGGAGCGCAGTGGTGGCACACCCGATCTGCCCACCCGCTCTCTGCCGCCACACCAGCTTGGCGACCTCCGCGGCGTGGCCCCTCTCCACTTCCCCCACATCTGTGCCCTGTGCGACAAGAAGATCTTCGATCTGAAGGTGAGTGGTTTGAGGGTGTCCCTGGGCACAGCTCAGACCCTTGAACAGGCTGTCAGGTGACTGATTTGGCCACCAGCTCCTGCCGCCCCTCACTGCCAGGGTCCATCACCACAGAGGTGCCCTGAGAGACGCAGAAACAAAGGGCCATAATTTTGCTGAGGGTATGGTACATCTGTTTCATGGCAGTTACTGGGGCTTCGAGATCCAGTTTTGTTCCACACCCTGCCATGAAAGATGGTGAGATTACAGCAGTGATGTGAGAAACGTGAGGTCTGAGCCGAGGTCGTAGCACACCTCATGCGCCTGGAGCGAGGCGGGGAGGAGCTTGAAGCTGATCCCTTGATACTCAAGCCAGTGTCACAACTCCGTGTCTGTAGTTTCATCTACTTCTCCTTTTCTGATCTCAAATGCTTCCCTCTAACAGCGTCATGGAAGCAGCTTGCTTAAACAGTGTATTTTTTTGATAAAATTATTTTAACTATTCCTCTGTAAGAATTTTTTCTTCCTTGTGTCTCACAGGAAAATTTAGGGCTCAAGGTTCCCAGGGACCTTTACCTGAAATCAAGAAGCTGTTCAGCACATGTGGTACAGACTGTGCTCTCTCTCACTTCTCTGTTCACGCTGCCAAGGGAGCTCCAAATTCAACCTCACCCTCAAGCAACAGCTTCCCAGTTTCCCAGGCAGTGTGTTGTACATCACGTTATATAGGTCAGGTCTGGAGAAGGCCACTTAAGTGGCCCTCTGAGCCCCACAGCCATCCATGGTTGTTCTGGCCTCATGGTGAGCCCTGCTCAACAAGTCCTCATGACCTTTTCTGTCACATCACAGGACCAGCACCTAACCAAAAAGGCATGTGTTCTCATGCTGCTGGTGGCCTGACAATAAAATTATAACAGCATGTACGTAGGAAGAAAAATTGCCAAAAAATTCAATAATACCTGATCCCTACACACCTTGGGGATTTGGGATAATTGAATATATTTGCTTTCATATTTACCTTTTATTCTTTTAGCAACTGCTTGCAAAATGTTTTCCTTTGGTTACTGCAGCTTGCGGGGATGAGCTGAAGTAACCCCTGTTCAGGGCATGCTGGGCATTTCTTTTTTTCATTAAACGCTTAAAAAGGGCAGGAGGAATGCCATTGCAGTGAGTTTCAGGGGATATGTTAGTTGGGTGTCTAATGCACTGCCTCAACTGGATCATAGAAATGTAAATAGCTAAATGTACTTCGACAAATGTTGCTGATCTAGTGAAATAGTAAGTACTGTCCTGGTTGTCCTGTATACTAAACACCTTCTTTATGGACATTGAAGGAGTTGAGGGGTGCTTAGCAGCTTGCAGGATGAGGTCTTCAGCAACAGTGAAATAACTTCATTACTAGAAATATACTGAATTTAAAAGCTAATACAGAGGAGGTTTCCTTTTGTAAACTGATAATTTAACATTCAAATAACGAATCAGTAAATGCATTGGTAGAAAGTGTGTGCTTGGCTCTGACATCACATGGTTTAATCTTCAGCATCTCAGCATTGCTTTTAGAATAAGGTAAACTGAATGGAGGAATAATCTTTTGTAAATTTATCTCAGGATTTTTCTTGTGTTCATCATCTCTTTGTTTCAACACAGGACTGGGATCAGCACATTAAGGGAAGTCTTCACATCCAAAAATGTATGGCTTTTTCAGATAAGTAAGTATTATTTTAAAGTGAATTCTTCAAACTGAATTGCTAACAGAGTATCCCTTACTTCAGTGGTTTTCTGCTGGGAATTTACTGCCTAAAAATTAAGCTTTAATATTTTTGGCATATCATTAATGTTCCTAAAGTTCTTTTCTTTCTTTTCCAGCACTGGTATCCGGTGTATGTTAAGCTCAGCAGATGGAACATTGCATTTATCACCAAATAATGCAGCAGTTTTCAATCCATCTAGTATTGAAGGTGAATGGTTGTATGTGCAATAGTTAAAAACACTTTTTTTAATTGAAGGGGAAATCAGTCTCTGAGGAGAACTGCATTTTAAAATGAAATGTGATAGAAGTTTCCAAGGAAAAATTTTGAGTAGTGCACAAAAAAGAATGAAAGCCAATACAGTGCCCTTTAAAATATGAATTTATTTTTCTTTCAAACAATAACTTGTTTTCATAGTACAACAATAACAGTGTATAATTTGGTCTAAAGACTATGAAATTATTTACTATGTAAATGGGGCATTTCTTACCGAGCACATTAATGCAATTAGTATGAGCCAAGATTTTAATGAAATGTGTGTAATCCATTATTTAGATTATCCGCCAAATGTTGGTGCATCTTTTATCGCTACACCAGCAAGATCCTTTGGCCAGCCAGGTCCTACATTTTCTTCTCCTTCATCAGGGGTAAGAGTGAGTACCTAAACAAATTGATGTCTGTGTTGAGATCCTTGTAGAAGCCACTTCTGCTTACTGGAATGAAAACCTCGAAGGCTTTATTTTAGACAATAATCTAAATGTTCACTCTGTTATTTCAACTTCTCTGTATGTTTTTTTATGCTTTTGATTTTGACCAAATATGAACTTCATTGTAGCTTCTGTTTTGCTTTGTTCTTTTCCAGTACTAAAAGTTGTTTGCTTGTCAGAGTTATCTGGGGAAGTGGGTAAATAGATTTGTGTGTGCTTTCCATTGACTTTTCCCCCTCCATTGTCCGAGTCTTTTTGACCCAGGAAGGTCAATGTCATCTTGGAATGAAGATTTGGATTAGTTTTCAGTTACCTTCAGTATTAACCCCATTAAGCAACCTTTTGTCTCTCTGGTTATTTATTTGTAGTATAATTGCTCTCTGCCTCTCTCATGCTGAGGTCCTTCTCCCAGGTAGCAATAGAGGCAAAGACAGTGGCTGCAGCTTCAGTGTTATTCACCTGGAGGTCCCATATCAGTTCATTATACTGGACTAACTTTTCCTTAGTTTATTTAAGTGTAGTATTTATATCCCATGCTGTCACTGGTAGCCTTTCAGCAAGTTTGCTTTGATGTGGAGCCTTCCATGCTTTAGGTTTATCAGTCCCTGCCCTGCATTCAACACAGGCCTGCAGTTATACTGCTCTAATGCACACTTGAATTCCTATCTCTATAATCAAAAATGCCAGAAAAAAGAATCAATGTTAAAAGGGGTTCTTACACTGACAAAGCAGAAATATTTTAGAAGGGAAAAAAAAGGCAAATAAAAGCAAACCATATTCATAATGAAAATCCAAAGTTGTTAGAGTTAAAATGAAACACATCACATATCAGAAAGCTACAACTAGAACTGGACACACCAAGGACTTATGTTAGGGCGTTCATGGAATAGCAGCAGTAATCCAAGGGTTCAAGTTTTCACCTTGTTAACTTTTATGTATATATCTCTCCTGATGCAGTCTCAGACATTCTGAAAAGCCAGGCTGAGTTGTGTCCCTGTGATACTCCAGTTCACATCAGGCACTGCTTGAAGAAAGGTCACCCAGATTTCCTTGATCCAACCCATTTCCTACTGCACAGTTTTACTGTGCAAGAGGTTACTTCAAGGGGTTTCAGCTTCTGCCTGTCACAGACACTGTGAGTGCAGGCAAGCAAAGAGCAGAGCTGCTCATGACAGCTGCCTCTAAGGTCAGAGGTGGACTAGCAGTGGGTGCACTGGAATGTTCCTTTTCATCATGTCTGTCAACTTCACAACAAATGAAATTACTGCTAATACCAGTGTCATTTTTCTTTAGAATCTGTCACTGTTTATCATTTAAGCTGCCTGAAGAAGTCCTCCTTCTGAATGACCTGCAGTATTTTGAGACATTAAAGAAAGAATAACTTTGATTTTCCTGGATGCTGTAAATCCCTTTTTTTTCTTCAGAAGGCTATTGGATGAACAGGGAGCTATATTAGAGGTGTTAAGACTGAGTTTGCCAGCTGTCATTCACTCTGCAACCCAGGTGGCTCATAATTTATTACACCTTTGCACGGTAGTATTCACTTTCAGCTAAGCTGCTGCCATTTAACTGAGCAGTAGGAGATTACACTTGACCCTGCATGTAATCATAAACAAAGTGTTCAGATTTCTGGAAGAGCTTGCTCTGTGCTGTCCATCTGCAAATAACTCTATCCCTCTGTAAAAGGCAAGTGCTACCAGTCTTCACTTGGGCGTGGAGAGCCATTAGCACTGGAGGGATGAGACTGACAGTTTCTTACTATCTTTAGAAAAATTTCATGTGAAGCTCAAGAAAGGGAAAATAATTTGAAAAACAAGAAACAACAACAACAAATGTAAGAAAACAGCTGTAATAAAAAACCACCAAATTGGATGGGTGAAATAATATTATAAATAGTATGAGGTGCATTTTGCTGCCGTGCATAATTTTTTTTAGATTTCTTTATTTAATAGCCATGCAGGTGTATTTGTAACCCATGGTAGACATTGGTTGCCAAGAAAGTTAACTTTGATTCTTATTGAAAATTAAACACCTGGCATGCAACAGCTCCTCTGACTTCCTGATTGTAGATACAGAAGGTGTATATTCCTTTTCTGGCCATGATTTACAGCTCTGTTTAATGAATGGATCCAGTTTAACTGCAATCAGCTGGCAATATTACTGCTACAGCCTGTTGACTTCTGGCATGAATATGTGACCACTTCTTAATCAAGAACTGCAGCAGGTTTATGGCATAGCATTTTAATTTAAGCCGTTGCCAATTGAGGGGAAGTGGCAACATCTTACAGTTGTTTGATTTAATGTACTTGAGGGCTGTATGTGGGAATGTGGCCTCTGGAGCCAAGGCAAGAAAGAGCTGAGCCTTTCTAGTCCAATAGACTCTTACATACCATCTTTTAACAGATCTAATGAAACAAACAGAAGATGACTAGTGACCTGGGGTGTTCTTACACTGGGATAGCATTTGATGTTTCCTTTTCCTCTAGCTGTAGTAGTGTTTTTCTTTTCTGTGCTATGTGCTGCCTTGCCAGATGCGTGCAGACATCACTACATTTTATGTTCAACTGGAGTTGAGTTGCTTCATCTTTTTTTCAGGATCAGGCCTTTGTTATTTTTCTGCCAGAAAAAAATACCTTACTTCTGAACTTTTGCACTTCTTTGACTTACCTTGTGCACCTGGGTGGGCTCTGTGAGATGCAAGCTAAGTAGCAGATCACTGTGTAATGCAGGGTCCTAATGCAGCAAAAATACACAAATGGTTAAGTGGTGAAGTCTGGAGGGAAGGCAACAGGATGGAGGTGTAAATAAGATAACATTAGCTCTGTAACTTGTGAACTTGCTGACAAGCCAAACATTTGTGATGGCTCTGGTGAACTTGATCCCACAAGATTACATGATTTGCATCTTCCTTTGAATGGTACAATTTTAACTGAAGGTAGAGTTACTTCTTCAGTAAAATCCTAATGCAGAGGTCATAAACATAGAGATGGTTCGGAAAGATTTAATCCTATGTGATTGATATTTTGCTTGTCATTAGCTATGGTAAATTAACTTTCTCTCTGGCTGTACCCTGATGCCTTTTGCACAGGGCGTGTAGAGCCTGCTTTCCATGCCAGGGAGATGGGAGGCTCTTTCGGAACTGCCCCAGCACTCCAAAATAGACTTCCCTTGGGAAGTAATCGCCACTCCAGTGCTCTGTGACTGTGCCAGCCCAGTTTGGGAGCTCTGGCTCTCTGCATGTCCTCACTGTCCACTGCTTATTGTGCCCCCAGGAGGGAGTCCCTCCTCCCATATGTTGTTGCAGTGAGAGGGGACATTAGCAGGTTTTCTAACCCCAGGTACAGCTGTGTGTCCTCTCACAAGTTAAGAGGGGTCACTTTTACCCCTGGCCCATGGTGTGTTCCATGAAGAAGGATTTAAATTCAGTCCCTGCTATCCTGAACACCCATGTAGTCACCTAAACTTGTTTCTAATATCCATAAATCCAGCAAGGACTGCTGTGAGCAGTTAGTTTTTGCAGGAATATGGTGGAGCCTCTTAGGAAGACAGTCTCTTTTCTAGAAATCCTCTCTGGACTTTGCAAAGTCCAGGGACAGAGATTCCTTTGAAACTTGTTTCATTTAATTTAATTTTTTTTCAGAAATGTAAGATGTTATTGAATGGATAGAATATCTAAGATAAAAACATTGGTTTGAGTTGGATTTTTTTCCCCAGTTTCCCCAGAGGAAATCTACACAGGGTCGAGTTGTTCACATTTGCAACCTCCCCGAGGGAAGCTGCACAGAGAATGATGTCATTAACCTGGGCCTCCCATTTGGGAAGGTCACCAACTATATCCTCATGAAATCTACTAACCAGGTACTGTACATTTGGGGTTACCAGTGTTGACATCTATTGGCATAAAGACATAAAGATATGAAGACATAAATATGAAGATAGAGTATTTGGGGGGAACATCTTATTTAGTAATAGAAACTTAAATATATGAAAACCACTCTTAAAGTAAAAAAAAAAGTTGGTCGTCACTGAATTAGATGAGGACATAGACATGACCACATCTAAACAAATTCTTGTTTAAAAATCCCAACAATCTCAACGAAAAAGTGTTGTAAAACTGTACTTTTTTTAAGTCAAACTATTTTTTTTTTGAGTCAATTACTTCCTGCCTTCTCGCAGCCATTTGCTAGGGTTACTTTCAGACTTCTCCTGTTCTTTATAGTAGCTTAAGTCTACCCTAAGTAGCCTAAGTGTACCAGTGATTTAAGCTGGTAAGAATAGAATATCTTCACTCACATTCCTGCAGAACACAAAATAGATGGATGTAGATTCCATGCCAGTGGAAAATGTTTGAGATTGTAATGTTTAAAAATCACAGAATCATAGAATGGTTTGGATTGGAAAGGACCTTAAAGACCATCTAGTTCTAACCCCCTGCCATGGGCAGGGACGCCTTCCACTAGAAAGAGGTTGCTCAGAGTCCCATCCAGTCTGGCCTTGAACACTGCCGGTCAAGAAATATTAGATACCAGCCATTTAGTTTTTAACTGAACTTTTAAGGTCACATATTGGCTTTAACAGCTGGTTTAAAACCATTATTTGCAGTTAAATAAAGACTGAGAAATTGGCTGAGTGTTATCACTTCAGCTTCAGGCTGGAAAGCTACCCAGTTTTGTACTGTCAAGATATTTTGCATGAGAAGAATCCAGAGAAAATTTATTGTGCTGCCTGTTCTCTCTTATACTTTGTACTTTTAATTATGCAATAGATTGTAAAGTTCTCTCCATTTGTGCTAGGCCTTTCTGGAAATGGCTTACAGTGAAGCAGCCCAAGCCATGGTACAATACTACAAAGAAAAACCTGCTATGATAAATGATGACAAGTTACTTATTAGGATGTCTAAAAGATACAAGGAGTTGCAGCTGAAGGTAAGATGGTCATTCCTGATCAAATTATGTGAGTTTCCATGGCAGATCTAGAGAATAAATTTAAAAATATTCTTGCTGATTACTGATTTCTAACTAATGCTTTACTATTATGGAAAAAGAAATAAAGATAAATTATTGAGTCTATATTATCTATCTTTTACACTTAGCTGCTTGCTCTTACTCTAAATTGTAACTCTTGGAAGAGACCACATTTTCTCTGATCCTTTCATACCATTATTTCAGAAATCCCTTCTGAGCTTCTTTGTGAGCAGGCTCCCTACATTGCTTGGTCTAACAAAGGTCTAAAAGACAGCCATATGTAAGATACAACATGTCACCAAGAATCAGATGGTTCTATCCTTTTAGTCAGGCGTTAAGCCCAGAACAATGCTTTTTTCACTGCATGCATGCTTGAGCCATAACACAGTCTTGACACCAAGCAATGGTAACGGGACTAAACAGCATGCTGATTTATTTTTATTTCTTGTGAATGACCTAGGTTATAAAGCAAGATCTTTTATTTTTTTTTCTTTTAAACTAAAGTCAAAACAGAGTAATATTATTTAGATTTTCTGTAGAGTGTGTGACGCTTCTGTTGTGGATGCTTGAGTGATGTCCAAAGATTGTTGCTCTTGTGAAAATATTTATAGAGGCTTATATACTGCCATATAATGTTAAGACAGTAATTTTATTTCATGGTGACTTGGACCAGAACTGGCAATGCAGAGCTTAAAAGCTTCATATTGTATTACCTAACACAGTACAAAGTTATTTTATAGAACAGCTCTGTAATGTTCCAATTTAATGTTAAGGGTCCTTTTATGAGCTTTTGGGAGGAAAAAAATAGAGGAACTTGGATGGTCTGACTTGACCTTTGGAAAAGCCTCTTTCACTCCTGTATGTGTATACTAGTTCCAGGGGACTTAAAAGGAGTTGCCAAAAGTTCATAAATCAGGGCAGACTTTCCTCATGTGGTACAGGGAGGGGTTCAGATATTAGGTGGTAGAGATTGTGCACCTTGACAGAGAGGCAGGAGTTACCCAGGAGAATGTGATAGCTTGCCTAGATTCCAGGAAGATTTTTCTGCTTCTCCAATGTTTTTCAGTTTTTCAGGTCATGGAATTATTTTGCTTTGCACAAGAAAGGAAACAAATAAAAATATGAAGAGGGAAATATGCATGAGCTATATACTGCTACAAACTGCTGAGTTCCTGCATGATTATGTTGCTCATCTGTGTGTGCTCCGTGTTTGAGGCACTCTGGCCTGTGTAGAGCATCCTACCTAGGGGTAATTGACACCCCAGTATACATCTTGCACTTAGCTTGTCTGAAGCTCTCCTTGTCTAAACATAGTCCTTGAGAGCTATACTCCAGAATGAGTGACTCTGAGATCAAGAGAAGGTAGCTCATACCTAGAGGATCAGAGATAAGCTGCTATACATACTTGATTCTGTATCAGAAAAATTGTGTGCTTTGTTTCCTCTTAGATCCAGTTCCTAGGAAATGCTCTGTAGTGACTGTGTAAGAAGGTTTGAGAGCAAGCTAGTTTTCAAAGCCTGTTAGAGCAGCCAAGTATGAAGAGAGAGTGCTACAACGTAATGGAGCAGATTTTCCGTTTGTATCATTTTACTGCTTTGATCGTGCTGCTGAGAGGCAACTGCAAAAGAGAGTGTAACCACAGCACTGAAACTAAATATTTCTAGTTATAGAAATTGTAATTGAAATAGAAAGTGTAATTGAATGAAGCACAGATACTGTTTCTTGAAGGACAAATCACCTGTATCAGCTTGGAGAATAGAGCCACATGCTAAAAAATGTCTTTGTTTTTATTAGAGACCAGGTAAGAATGTGGCTGCTATAATCCAGGACATCCACTCACAGAGGGAGAGGGACCTGCTACGTGAAGTGGACAGGTAAAGTTTCTCCAAAGTTTGGAATTGGAAGTCTGTAAACCTACAGGTAGAAGAATTATCTGTGCTTCCCTTTCTTATTTCATTGACTTTCCTAATTCAGATTTCACTAATAAAATAGTATATATTTTTATATAGTTCAATAGCAGGTACAGGGGTCTGTATGATGAAATCCAACTGAAACTGTGCATGTTAAGAAAATACCTCTTTCTTACTGTTTATGCCTCAGAAAATATATCTGAAATGTGAAGCACACAAAAATGAAGCTATTCTACTCTCCTTCCTGTTGAGTGAAAAGCATAAAGGCTGGGGATGCTTTGAGGCCAAATGGGAAAGGAGGCAGTTCAGATTAAAATGTATTTGGGTACATTTCTGATCTCTCTGACTTCTGGAACTTTCAGCAAAATTGGAGAGGAATCACAGTCCTAAAACATCTCTTTTAAACAGGTGGCCTTTGTCACTTTTGTGTCAGAGATGCCCTAGCTGAGTGAGTATTAAGGGTACACACATTAGGGTCATTGTAAAGGTATTAACATATTATGGGGCTTTTAATGCTAAACCCCTATGAGACGCTTTTAAGAATGAATGAATATATTCTTGACAGTTCTGTGGGGATTTAGTTAAGCTCTGTGGCTATGACACTGCCTTTTCTCCTGTTCACTGTTTGCAGCTGTGCAGTGCATGTCTGTGAAAGGCCTGGGGTCTCAGGTTCGCAGTCCCCAGGGCAGTCCCCATGAGCTTCCAGTGTACAAGAATTGGTAGACAACAGTGGGTCAGCCAGTTACAGCTGCCTTTTCCCCCTGCAGCAGGTATGGCACTGAGAGGCCCCGTTCCCGCAGCCCCATAAGCCGCTCACTGTCACCTCGATCCCACACGCCCAGCTTCACTTCCTGCAGTTCACCACACAGCCCGTTGGGGACCGGCAGGACCGACTGGGGAAATGGGAGAGAGGCATGGGATCAGTCCCCCTATTCTCGACGGGAAGAGGAAAGAGATAACAGAGAATGGCGAGAAAATGGGGATGAGAAGAGAGACAGGACTGATACGTGGGTACACGAGAGGAAACATTATTCCCGACAACTGGATAAGTTTGATTTGGATGAACAGCTTGAAGGAGGCAGAGGACACCGAGAAAAATACTTAAGGACTGGTTCCCCTGGGTCCCTTCACCCTTTATCTGGCTACAAGAACAGGGAAGATGACTATTACCGAAAATCCTCTAAGTCAAAATCTGAGAAGTTTCAGAGGCAGCTGCAGGATTTATCTGGGAGGTCTAAGAGAAAGGAAGAGGCAAAGATAAGGGAACACAGGCATTCTTATAGCAAGGACACTGCCAGGGAGGAGGCAGCTGAACAGAAGCACAGCAAAGCATCTGAGGGCTCCAGGCAAAAACAAAGCGATAAGAATAAGGTGAAGAAAACTGAAAAAGACCAAGAAGATGCTACTGTTGAAGGCAGTGATGTGAAGGAAACCAAACCTACTGAGAACGAGGTAAATAGAGATCTAAAAGTTTATGTAAGAAGTATAAATGCTGAAGTAATATATTTTCTGAAATATCTTAAAGAATTTGTTGTAGGTGCCAGCAATATGAAGTGTTTTTCCATGATAAAATGAGGGAATGTAGTCATAGAGGAAGTCTTGAGAAGTCGTCTTGCCCGTGTTTTTACCCAGACCATGCAGATCTATTTCACTGTCATGGTGTTGGGTATATGGACATCATCATTCTGTGTTCTAGCATAGAACCTTTGGGTAACAAATGAGGAGACAGGGACAGAGAACTGGAAACAAAATCAAGTGACAGTCTGCTATTTGCATGCAGACAGTGTGTGAAGAGGCAATTGTTGTCCTGCTAACTCTGTGCAGAATGCCCCATAGCTGCTCTTTCTGCATCCATCACCTGCTTCCACTGCCAGTGAGGAGAACTGAGTTAGCTGGAAATTAAGTAATACAGAGCTGCACAGTATTTATACAGGGAAGTGGTTGCTATACTTTCAAAATAGTGAATTAACTTTTAATGAGAAATGTTTCTTTCTGGATAACAGAGCAATTATTTCTACTAGTCATGTGTCCCTACCCTCAGCTGTGGCAGGGATAATTCACACCACTCCCTTCAATGTTCTGGCAGAAATCTCTTCCTGTGACAGAAGCCACTGAATCAGCTCACCTATAAAATTATGCAGTCTCTGGAAAAATACTTCCAGTGGTGTAGTGGCAATGTTTGTGGGTTTGATTCTCCACTGGGAAAAAGTGGAGGGGGAACGCATCCAGATGCCTCATTTGCTCAGTCTCAGTACAGCCCATACTGACATCCCCACCCCTTGGGGATCTGGTTACTGGCTCTTGGCCACCTTGCCGCCCCTGGAGTCCCCCAGGGATAGCTGCTGCCATCCACCCCCAGGGCTCTTGGCACAAGGGGCTGCAGAGCTGCTTGGCTGACCAGGGCTCCATCTCTTGTGTCTTTGTTGGTTGTTTCCAGTTGACCTTCTTTTCATGTGGGGCTAAGTTGGTGGAATTTCCTATATTTGTAACTCGCTAGTCTGTAACCAGCAGCAGCACTGCCTCATGCCATAGATAAGCATGTTTGTACATTTTATCATCTTTCTCCTTTGGCTGGTATTTTATTATGATGTATGGTTCCTTGGGAGGAGATGTCAGAGAGAAATGTCAGACCACATCCTAAATCACACTCCTCTGCATGTTTTCCAAGTTATTTTACAGAGGCTTTGCTAAAGACATGCCTCTCTGGGGACTATTGCTAGTAATTTATTTTTATAGTAAGAAATAGTTTTGTATGTCTTGAACTCACTTTTGCTTTGTCCCTCTTTTACTAAATACCAGGTAGTACTGTGGTTTTGTTCTTCTAAAATATGAACTGTACCACCAATTCCATTTTCAATGGATCCTATGTCAATAAACAAAACAGTTGAGGTCTTCTGCAGAGTTTTAACACTGCTGCTCTCCTTACCGCATCTGAGCCAACATAACAAATGTGGGTAGAGAACATAAGAGTGGAGGCTGGAAATTTTAGTGAATTGACATTCTCCCCCACCTGTCTTTTAGCCAATTCTGTGATATAAATTACACCTCTAACTTTGTTTAAAATTCTTTTTCTTAATTCGTATTTGTGCAGCTCTGCTAATGGAATTTATTGTTGGGTCTTTTCCCACAGCCTAGTTGACTTGCATAAACTTTAGAAATAAAGAATGTGACCTTGTGAGTGACTTTGCTTCTTTAAACCCAGCATAGAAACATACTAGAGCACCACTGTGTGTTGCTATACGTCTATATGTATTTATTTTAGCTTGAAAAAGAGGAGCAAGTTCCAGTGAAGAGCTCACCTTCAGATAATATACAAGAAAAAGAATCTGGAGAGATTCTGGAAAACACAAGGAAAGAGAAGGTTGGTGACACATTCTTGGTGTAGCTTCTTTGAGAAAATAATTGAAACCCCAGGTTTGGTAGCATGTTCTCCCAAATGAAATATTAACCCCTTATGAAAAAACACATAAAGGGCTTGGGGAAGGAGGTTGTCTAAATTAACTTGCCTTATCCTGACCTCTGCTTTAAGGGACAGCTTTTCCTGAAGTCTCCAGAACTCTTTTTTTAGTTACTCTTTGCTCATGTACATTGCTTCACATACATAGCACTTGGCAGTGGCAGCTGTGAGGAATGTATGCCCAAGTGAACTGGGTAACTTTGCAAACCGTGCCCAAAAATAGGAGATGTGGTCAGTTAGTGGGGAAAGAGGGGACTATGATGAATGCTTTTTAGAACTCTGGCCTTATGAACTATAGATAGCAGTCTCCTGATTGTTTCTGGTTTTAATTAAATAATGCCTTTAGAGCACCCCTACTGCTGCATTGCAATTGGGGAGAGCAATGTCCCTGGAATTCCTCCAGCTTCATATCTGTAGGGTCATGGGTTGATGGTCAGATATGGAAGATATTGATATCTGTTGCTGCAGAAAACTGATCTCCCGGCAAGAGCAGTGCCAGCTCACAGAGTTTTCATGCTGTTTTAGGATTCTAGGAGGGGAAGTGTGGGAATGGCCAAACATTAGGAGAATACAGATTATTAATAGATTATGTGTACACAAGGAGTCTGGGAGTTGAAATCTAAGATGCAAGTGTGTCTTAAAAGTAAGATATACCTTTTAATTCTAAGATTTCTCAAGTCCAGTATTAGTGCCTGAGTCCTGTAACTCAGTAACTGCATGTATGAGGTATTTCAGAATATATGTACCTTGGAGTATAACTGTAAACCTGCTTTTTCCTAAAGTTTAGGCTAGTGGCTCCCAGCACATTCCCTGGCAGAGGGATCTTGCTGGTGGAAGGAAATGACTGCAGAAGGAAGCCATGTTTTCTCAATCACCATGTGAATTTAAAGGACCTGGTCCAGCAAAGTGAAAACCACAGTAGCTCGAATGGGGTTCAGTATATTTTCATTACACTGAGATGGAGGTAGAGGAAGGGGATCACATAGCTGCATCAATTGCATAACAAAGTGTAACACATTGTGCCTTGCTCTACTGCTTACACAAAAACAAGAAGCAGGAGACTGGAGAGATTGTAATCCCCAAGGCAGTTACAGAATTTTCACAAAGGGAAGTTGATGTGATAATTCAATAGAGAATTTTTGTCCTTGTCCATAAGGTTTAAAATAACAACACCAAGGCACATCACTCTGAAACTAAAATACAAGAGGAGTTAGATATGGCCATATTAAGGTTCTTCCTGGTTTCAAGGCCCACTTTTTAACAGTGATGATCTATAATCACCAATCTCTCAAATGTTTTACATCTTTGTGACAGGACCGAGACTGGGAGAGTGGAAGTGAAATAGAAGGTGAGACCTGGTATCTTGCTAACATGGAGGAATTAGTGACAGTAGATGAAGTGGGAGAAGATGATTTAATTATGGAGCCTGATATAACTGAGCTTGAAGAAATAGTTTCAGTTGATCAAAAAAATAAAGCTGCTTCAGAAATGTGTCCCTGTATGTCAACCGTGTTAGAACTGAAAAACGATCACAGCCACTTAACCAGGAGTGAAGACAAATTTGCCCATAAAGCTTTAGAAACAAACTTCAGAACAGCAAAGGGCAGTGCAGCTTCTAGTGGCTGTCAGGAAGATGATGAGGATGATGATAATGATGATGCTGTAACTGAAGCATCAAGCCTAAATCTGGACCCTGAACAGAAGCCAGAGGAATTGAAAGAAGACCAATCTGCTAAGGAGTCTGATTGCCAGCAGAAGGAAGGAAAAATTGATAAGAGCTCTGACACTCATTTAGAGCCTGAAGATCACCATATACCTTCTGTTCATCTGAAAGAAGAGACTCTTCAGCTCCCTGATACATTTATAGATGATTACAAACAGATGGGATCACAAGGGGCTGAGAGCAGAGAAGTTACGGAAACACTCATTAAAAACACTAGTGAAGAAACAAGACATGGAAGCCAAGAGTGTCCAGAGGCCAAGGGTAACTACTGCTTTTTTTCCCTTCAGCCTGCAGAGAGCCTTGAATGTTTTCTCTGAGGGTAGACTGAAATTTATTGCTAACGAGAATAAGTGTTGTTAATAGTATCAAGGCTTGTCCTTGAAGCAGCTTAGTAAAAGAACCCCAGTGCCTTTGGCCAAGCTAAACCATTAGAGCCTCTTAGATGAATAGTGTAAAGGAAATATGATAAGCAGCTTGCAAGCTTTCTGAAAGGCATAAGCTGCTATAATTATTATGTCAAGGTTCACATGAGTTTAGCTGAAGTCTTTCAGTGCCTTGCTAAATTTATTTTGAATTGTCAATGAAATGAGTGACAGTCTCAGAAGGTCAACAGAAAAGTATCTGTAATGTCTGGCTGGCTCCTGGACAAGGTGGGTATTCTTACACACTGTACTGAAGCATTATTAACATGGATATCACACACAGATCGTTACTTCTCAGTCCCTGTTCATGCAAATACATGTCTTTTGCCAGGACTTGTCTTATCATGTCCTGTTATCTACTGCATGCTGCCTTTAATATAACTGATAGGATGTGCTGTGAGATAATGTCAATAAATGTAATCATAGCTACCTATTTATATTTTAGCTGTCAGGAAAAGAGGGATCTTGAGGGTCTGAAAGTCAGTTCAGTTCCTTGTCAAATGATACTTGAGCAAATGGGCTGTTCATAGTAAGATGAAGTGAAAAGCAACATTGAGTATGTTGGTCAGAAATGCTCTTTTTTAATTGCTGCCAGAGCCCATGTGATGCACAAGGGCTTGTGAAAAGAAGCTAATGGAAGATTTTTGAGAGTGCAGTGCTGGAAACATCTCATGTGAACATCTGATTTTGAGCTAACTTCTTCCTCTAGGCCAGATTTGAAACTCATTGGTTTTTAATACTTACCTGATTGGCCTGAAGACACCAGACTTTGCATATTTGGAGATAACATTGCCATGGGACTGGGCAGGGCAAAGTTGGCTCTCCTGGGCTTCCTGGGCAGCCAGCTGATGAAAGAACTGGGTGTCTCAAGACCATATTTATTAGTGTTTCCAGCATCTCGGCTTCCAGCTTGTCAGCAGGGAGCCTGGAAGCTCCAGGGCCTCTCATGCTTCCCAGGTTTCTGACATGGACTTGTTATCTGGGATCTGCACTCCAAGGCTCTAGGCCCTCTACAAATGCAGCTGCCAGCTCAGAAGCACAGAAAATTTAAGTGGGACTTAAATTGCTGCAAAGGTCCTGGGTGTCTTAAGAAAAGTTTACCAGCTTGCTGGGGGCTTTTCAGGTTCTCTGCTGCAGTATTAGAATCCTGGGATAGATTTAAAGTTAATTTGAAAGCCAACCAGTCAGGATTTTATATAATTTTTTTCTAAATCATGCAATAGACATATTTATAAGTAAAGAAAAAACCATTCTCATAGCCAGGAACTGCAGATCTTTGAACTACAGACTTGAAAGACAGGAAGGGTTTGGTTTGGGCAAAATATGTTTGTTTTATAAGAAAATATATCCCTTATCTAGGCAAAATTTGCAATGCAATAGAAATTTTGTCAGGGTAAGTGAGGTAATTCTTTGATGTTAGGACTGAAGAAGAGGAATCAGACCAGTTTATCTGTAATTTTGTGGCTCTGTGATAGAAGATTTCTCTATTTTTAAATAAAAGTAATTCTTATGATTGAAATCATGATAAGGGAGAGCATCTGTTCTTTTGACTAGCTATATCTGCCTCAGCAAATCAATCCAGTGTTTCCACATCTTGAATCTCCTGCTGTGTCCATTAATGTCAGCCAGCAGGGACCAACCATCCCAGCCCTACTATTCAGAAACCAAAATCTTTTAGTGGCTGGAAGCCATAAAGCAGGAACTATCCCTTGGAGAGGTGAGGATGGGAGAAGAGTGGCTCCAGGGAGAAGGTGGTAATGATGCTGCAAGGATCCTACAAAAGGCTGGTTTGGGGAATTGTATTCATCAGGTCCTGTTGCCCCCAGCATCTCAGCAGCCCCTGTGTCAGCCCAGCTGCACCACTGGGTCATGCAGTAATACATGTGGTTACAAAGCTGCAGTCAGGCCATGCTTCTGCCAGAGGTGTGTGATTTAGCTCTATTTAGAGATTAAAATACAAAAACCCCTCCAAACATAACATTAACTTAGAAATAGAAAAATGGTCTACTGGGAGAAATCGAAGTGACTGCACACCATAGTACAGCTGTTGGAGTTGCACTAAACAGGACTCTGATTTGAATGGAAAAGCATTTTTTTCCTGATTTTACTTCATTTATAGATCCACCCAGAAAGTGTTCCCAAGAAGTTTACAAATGTCTCTTTAATAAACTGTTTTCATTCAATACATTTATTCATTTGTTAAGCAAATTCTAGGTTCTTGGAAATGAGATCTCTGGAATACCCGGAGGTAGACTCTAAACAAAGGCCCTCTGCACCAGGCTGGGAACAAGAGGACGTCTTCGAGCTCAGCATTCCCCTGGGTACGTTGGGCCGCCCACTGCAATACCCAGGGCTTACAACAAGATGTCACTTTAAGGCTACTTGCTATATTTATTTTTCAGAACAGATGTGAGGAGAGAAGGAACAGGGTATATGACAGACGGGTAGCTGTTGAAAGAAACAGGCTTTTGATTCTAGATCATTGCTAATTCATTCCAAATGAATGGCAAAAGGCAGCTGATGAGATGAAATAAGTTCCTTGGACTATATATGAAATACATGTGAAAAAATACTTAGTAATTTAAAAGTCTTTGCCATAAAAGTATAAGCAAAAGTATTTGCTTTACTGTGTAAATGCTGTTTATGAGCAAAATACCTGAAAGACATACATCCTCAAAAGCAATCCCTGTAACTTGAACATGAATTTACTGCTAAAAAGTATTATTGCCTTTCTAGCCCTTGAGGTTACAGAGTGAAGTTTCCAGTCAATATTATGAGAAGGTAGATTTTAAAGCATGTGTATCTAAGAGAGAAGAGAAAAGGTGTGTTTTCAATGCACAGGATTTTAAAGTGCAGCTCAATATTGCAAAATTAGGGAAATTAGAAGAGTGAATCCAGGATTCAGTCTTCCTATTCCTAACATTTAACTACGTAGCATGTTTTTTCTTTGAAAACAAGTTTATTATGGGAGGGGTAGGATTTCAACTGACATTTTAATATAATTTAGAATTTCTCAACAGGTGTGGAATTTGTGGTGCCTAGAACTGGGTTTTACTGCAAGCTCTGTGGACTCTTCTATACAAGTGAAGAGACAGCAAAGACAAGTCACTGCAGGAGTACTGTTCACTACAAAAATCTCCAGGTAAGAACACACCTAAAGCTTCTGAACAACAAGCTCATGGGGTAGTTTGTGTGTAAGGTAGATGATGCAATAAAAAATTGGTTCTTACTGTGTGGACAGAATTCAGATGAAGTGAAATTCAGGTAAGCAAACTTTTCAGTAGTTCCAATCATTAGCTTGCTAATTTCTCACTCTCAGATCCTTGAAATCAGCTTCTGGGTCATAGGTAAAATGAGGCCAGCTGATAATTTAATCTTCTCATATACATTTGATCCTTGTCACTAGCACAGCATGCAATTCAGGTCTTTAATTCCCTGTTTCAGAGGGTCCCAGATGTTTCTGTCACTGGGAGTGACCACAGCAGCAGCCTTTAGTATGTCTTAATGTCAGGACATTAAACATGGCATTTATCTGATAGTGTAGTCAGGCCCCTTTCTGTATTCATGTGGGTTTCTCAGCGTGTTTCAGCTTGCAGCTCCGTGTGACATTCGGGCTCTGCGAGGCATTTCCTGTGACCCGCTGAAATCCCCTCCCTGTGTGCACAGCACCACTGCTGAGTAATTTCCATCAGGATATGCAGGAACATGTCAATGCTTGTTGCTCCATGAGAATGTAACAAAACATGTCAGCAGTTGATAACAGCACACAGAGACCACATGTGCCTGCAGTTCAATCAAAGACCTGCCTTTATTGTTTCTGAGATGCACGGTTGAGAGACTCAGTCACAACAGCCTGAGCATTACCTGTCCTGTGCTCAGGGATCCTCAGAGGAGATGGTCTTGGCTACCACCCCCAGTCTCTGCCTGTGAGCAGGGTGTGTACACTACATACACACACACACACACACATGTGCTGACATTCTCATATTCTTAGCAAAAGTCATGGCAGAGCAAAGCAGAGCTGCTCCTCCTTTCTCTGTTCCTTCCCTCTGCCCACAGTAAATGTGGTAACTCTGCTTCTCTTCAAGTAATAGCTCTCTTTCTTTAGCTGGCTAATAGGCATTGACTTTTCTAGTGACGCTCACAGTCAAGTAATTTCTCTGGGAGAATTTTCTTGGCTTTCCTGAAGTTTCGTAGCTGTAATCATACAAAGGCCTCTGGCTTCCAAAGGGTTCCCACAGAGCTTTGATGCTTGCTCATAATGGACCCTCCAAGTGCAAGCTTGAAAAACAGGTGCCCAGTTTGCATTCCTTTTTTTGCTTCATACAAAAAAGTCCAGAGGGATTCACCAGAGGTGGCACCACTCAGTGCAAGCTGTGCATCCCATGCAAGTCTGTCCCTTAGAAACTCATACTAAAGAAAAATTGCAACTCCTGCCCCTGACCCTGGAAACTAACCATGGGAAGAAGAGGCATTTTGTTTTTTTCAATTTTCTAACTTATTTTGTTGAAGTCATAAAGAACAGGCCCAACTAAATCTGACTTAGTGTGAAAACAACCTCTTTTTCTCCCTCTTAAGACATTTCCCATGAGTACTGTGGTAGATATCTAACATTGACTTGAGATAAAGGAACAAAGACTATAAAAGCTGTTAAAATTAAATCTGCCAAATGCAGTAATAAAAACAGGCTGTTCTGTTGAGCCATACCTCTTATCTTACTAAATACAGGAAGTAAATGTCTCGTCCAACTTTTGCCTGCTCAAGTGGAAACTTAGGAAATTTCAAGTCACTGTTGTGTTACTGGAACCCTTTTAGTTGCCATAATGCTCATTTATTAATTCTGCAAGGAATACGAGTCTTCTCCTGTGATGATACAAGTTAACGAGTGTATCCACCGATACAGAACTAGGGACTCTGACTGTAGTGGAGCTTTGAGAGTGCTGCTGCAGTGTTCCTGTTCTCCTTCCTGAATGCCAAATGCCATCATCCAGTGACAACAACAGTGTCCCAAATTGTGTCATGGCTTTGAATCTTTTATAGCTGATTTGCTACTTGTTGTCTCTCATGTGATTGCCTTGAGCCACGTCCAAAATATATGTTCAGTGTTTGGATTTGAATGCAAAACTGAACAGCTTGTTTGCCAATTTTCTTCCAAAAGCCTTGTTTATATGATGACAGTTTTGCCTTGAAGCAAAATGGTCAATTTCATCTGTGATGATGCCCCTTGAATAACATTAGTCACTGATAAAAAAATCAGCTGTTTCTTTGTCAGCCTCGCAGACTTATTGTAATTTTTAATTCTCTTCATCATAATAAATTATTTTCCCAGGTGATAGTTGTATATACTGATACACTGTAATTCCCACATCCAAAAAATCCATATTTTTGCCATCCCTTCCTCCACTTCCTCCAGCTACACAAAGCTGTCACCATTCATCTGGTGGGAGCTACCTTGGCAACTCAGTGCACTATTGCATCCTGTTTTCCACTGGCTTTATGCAGTATTTGTCAAAACTTGTATTTAAATGAAAAAAACCACAGTTTTTGCTTGACTGCAATTTTGCTATTTATTAATCTGAATCTTCAAATCTGGCGTTTGTGGTACTCATGATAGCAGGCAATATCAGCTAAAGGCAGTGGATAAAACTCAGTCTTATTTTGGTCGGTGCTTATTAAAAGCTCCAAAAGCTTGGGTTATCTGATTCAGGGACAAGTGTTAGTGATTTATTACAGTTCATGGTGTACAGAACATGTCTCCCAGCCTTTATGGTCCCTATATCTCTGTATACTACTGTAACATTTACTCTGGCATTTTGCCACATGGAATTTTGCACCCAGAGATCAAGAACTGAGAGTTGTGTAATTTCCACAGCCCAGTCTCTCTATTCAGACTAACAAGGGTGCAGTCATCACTTTGTCACGGGTATGTCCATTGATTATCATTGCCGAGTACCTTTCACATGAACCTCTTATATTCAAAATTTGTATCTACCTGAGAGAAGGTGGCAATTCTAACAGCCTTTAGTATTTTTGCATCCATTTCTCATTAAATCTCTTCCCCATGGATGCCAAAGAGTATACTACTCTGGGAAAATCCTGCAAGTTGAGAAAATTTTGCAGTGATGTGCAAGGGTCTTTTCAAAATAAATCAGAATGAGTAAATTTTCAAAATAAATAAGAATGAGTAAATAGCTATAAAAGGAGTTTTATGAATCCTAATAATGCATAGGTCAGTTATTCTTGCTTATGATGTATGCAATGTGTGTAAGTCATTAATAAGAATACCTCTACATTATTATGTTGGAATTTCCCAGGTGTCTCTGCACTAGCTGCTGTTGAAGAAGCTTCTTTCCATCCATTTCTATGTCTGCTGACCTTGAATAAATAGTTTGAGCACTATTTTGAGACCCATACCCATTCATCATCCATTTTATGTGCAGCTCTGCCAACTAAGGGCACTGCCAAAAGGCTGAAAGGCTCACTGGCCATGTCTGTTCTTTTAAATCTCACTGAATACCCGAAGCAGTGAAAGGCTTTATCTTAGAGAAACACAAGAAATGTAAATACTCTAGCCAAAATGCTAAATTGTGTTAATTATTACTGAGTGTGATTATTCCCTTAAAACAAAATGTTCTCATACAAAAGGTGTATTTCTGAACTGGATATGCTAAAAAGATATAAACTTTAAATGAACACTCTGACACTTTATGTTCTGATACTCCAGTACTTTCCTAGCAGAATTCAGTTGACTGAGTGGAGTTAGTTCCTGCCCTGTAGCACTGGGGAGTAAAGAAAAGGTGAGGTCTGGTTACACAGACTGATGGGGAGTCCTCCTGGTTCTGTCACCAGTTTCCCCTGTGGCACACACTAAGTCTCTGAACTTCTGAGGCTCTGCATGTATTCAGGTAGTTTGCCTGACACAGACATATTTTCTGGCTTGAGTTTTCACCAAAATTTGGCTTCTATGTGCTTTCTCACCTTTTGAGATGCTGGGAGAGTTAGAACTCTGAAGAGGCATAAAGAATCCCATGCTGAATATTTTCAGTTTTGATAACAATGCTTTGGTTTTTTTATGTGATTGCAGAAGTATCTATCCCAGCTTGCAGAAGAGAGCTTGAAAATGAAGGAAGAAGGCAGCCCTCTGCCTCAGGATGACACTGGCATTGTTCCTCACTTTGCAAAGAAAAAACTATGATGCAGATGAACTGGAAGAGCTGTAATGAGTGAATGCTGATACTTTTTTTTCTTTTTTTTTCTTTTTTAAAAAATTTCTATGATATAATTGTCAATTTGCACTGTACAGAGAAGGGGAAATAAAGAGCACGTTCCATGCATCTATGCCCAGAGTGCCATTATAAACCAAAATGCCTGAAACTGTTTCCCACGGTGAAGCAATGCTGGCATATCTGTTAGAAGTGGAGCAATTCTTTCTCACACTCTGTGTGCTGGGAGTGGTTTCCTAGATTAAATCAGAATTCTCAGGGATTCTTAAAGTTTTAGTTCTGATGTAACATGTCAGGTCAGGTGGAGTACTTAGAAGCACTCAGCATCCTCCAGTGAACGCTGGAAGGAAAGGAGATTGTGACTATTTATAGGCTTTAATGTTGCTTAAAATATCTTCAGCCATTTCACTCATTGCCCCTGTGAGAAGTAGAATTTGCATATGTATCTAAAGCCATTTTGCTAAAACTAGTGAGTAGATGGCATAAAGTAAACCCCATCAGCACCCATGTCCATGTCTTAGAGCTTGGTGAAATGACAAAATGTTTGTGTTGTCAAGAACTGTATACTGCCGGTGTTGTGTGAATTCCAGGGGAGCCACAGTCTGTCCCAGGGATCTCACAGCCTGAACCCGGCACAGCAAGAGCAGTTCAGATGCACGTGCTGACAGCCAGCCTGCTCTAGTTTCAGCATTTGCCATGGTGTGATCAGGGTGTTCTCCAGGGACCGTTGTTTGAAACTCTTCTTTTTGATAATTCTAAAGGGTGCCAACTTTGAGTCTTACAGACTTGAAACTCTCATGAGAGGCTTTTTAAAGTGCCACATGTTTGGACCATGTCTCTTTTAGACATTTTATTCAAGATCCTTGCTTTTGGGGTCTTTTTGTTTTCTTTAAAGCTTGCTTTTCCTCAGCTTGGCAACGTTGAATTTTTCCTGGTTTTTATGGAAAGATGCCAGATTTTTAATATTGTTTTTGTATTTTATTTCCCTGAATTTTTTAAGGTGAATACAACAACTGATGGCTCATGGAGCGCTGCACTGAGAACACAGGATGCACCAGCAGCTCTGGCATTATTATGACCTATTGTTTCTGCACAGTCGTTGCTTAGTATTTTGCAAAGTCCCTTTGAAATGCACTGTGCACGTTTCTGGTTCGTTTCAATAGGGCTTTGTGTACTAATGCCTTAAGTTTTAGCTTTCATATTTTTCAGATTCTGTGCTGCCTAACTTTGTAGCTCTGAGCTTCATATTAAGTGTCAGTAAACTCTCTTCACAGAGTAGGTAGACAAAACAATTCCTTTTCTAGCTTGATGCCAAGGACAGTAGTTACAAGTTTAAGGCCTAAAAGCACAAACAATGGTGGACTGAAGGCAGAAAACTACAAGGATGGGACTTCATAATCTGAAGCTGTAATTGGAAAATTAACCCAAATATGTAGATGGACCAAAACTTATAAAAGTGTGAGACCTTGTGACCAGTTGTCCATTTTGTGACCATTTTTAGGTCCATCTTGGCTGTAGCCCTGGCCAGGCTCTTGTACTGCCCAAGGTGTATCCTTTAAGGCCTTTCAAGAAATACCTACTTTATTCTTAACTCTGTCTGGCCTCTATTCTAGGTCAGCCTTCTCAAGGCATCAGCTCTAAAGTGAATATGCATGCAAACCATTGCCAGGATTGATCCCAGAGTTTATAAAATGCCTGTGCAATCTGGATAGGTGGGGATTTGCAGGCATTTCTGTTCTTTGTCTGACTCTAATATCCATCACAGTACATTCTGTAAAAATTGCTGGTGCTGGATGTCCTGTTCAGATGTTGTGCAGAGGAAACAGTTTCCCAGAAGGTTCTAGCTATCCCTAAGAATGACAGGGATGTTGCACAATATTGCAAAGTGGCTAAATTGCCAAAACTGCTTCCACCAAAGTATTTGTTCTGTTATGTCTTGTGCCAATAGCTGTGCTCATTCTCTGAAGTACCCTGTAGCTAGGCAGTATGTCTCAGAGATGCCTGATGTTGTTGCCTGAAGTCCTGTTCCATTCCATGGCCTGTGCTTTCCACTCATTTTTACCAGAGGTAGGTTCAGATTTCATAGTTGGAATTCCTGCTTCTTGCAAGTTGAGGGATTCTTTGCATCCCAGATTCAGAGCCTACCAAACGACAAGGGGAAATTAAAAACATTGCAGCCTAAATCCTCCTTTGTCCAGGCTTGAAGTATGTTACTACTTGTGTCCATCTGTCATTTAAAACATCTAGTTTGGGGTTTTTTGGGTTTTTTTTGGTTTTTTTTGTTTGTTTGTTTGTTTTGTTTTGGTGGTTAGGGTTTTTTGGGGTTTTTTGTTGTTGTTGTTGGCTGTTTGTTTGTGTGGGGTTTTTTTTTGTTTGGTTGGGCTTTTTTGATTTTGTTTGGTTGATTTTTTGTGGGGAGTGGTTTTTTTTTTCCCCTATGGAGAAGAAAAAACCCACCAATATTGCAAACCAGGTATTTTTCCTTCAAGGGTTGGGTTTTCCTTTGACTGTTTTTCACATTGCGGTGAAAATTGAGCACAGGGCTATTAGGACAAGAGCTTGTAATGCAGGCTGTAAGATGATGAAAATGGCAGTAAAGATTGTGCAATTGTCTTCTAAAGTGCAGCTCTCTAGCTGGTCATGTATCATCTGAATATGAAGTTCCCTTCATGCCCTTCAGCACAAACTGAACACAAGGGAGGAAATCACTACAAATGCAAGCATCAAATCTTTGAAGCTAACCTTGCTATCAAACTGGGGCTCTCACCAGCCTAATGGGAGCTTGTTAGACCACGTGGTTTAAGCTTAATTGGATGTGAGACATAGCTGACTGTATATCAAAGTCATATGCCTCCAGCAACTTTATCCCCAGGTAACCTCAAATGAGAAAAGTATCACTGTTATTATTCTTTATTTGTAGTGCAGCAGAAGCTACAGGTCCACTGCCTTTATTATAGGCAAGGCACAAATCCACAACAAAGGCTTTCCCAGGCCAAAGAGCTTTAAATCACACTTTCTGAAAACAGACAACAGGTGGATACAGGCAGGCAGGGAATGCAGCAGGTAACCATAAGATTTTGACTGGCAGCAGAAGAATAATAAAAGTGAGTGTTTACCCAGGGGCTTATTTTTTGACTTATAGGAGATGATTAAAACTACTTTCCCCCTCCTCTGGTTCTGAACCAGGTTCACTCCCTTTATTCACAGCAATGCAAAACCCCTTCTTCATACAGTGGGCCTTGGTATCCTTCGGTTCCCAGCCATTCAAGTTTCAGTCTCCAGAGGTGGAGTCTTGACCGAGGCCCAGTAGGAAATGCCCTGGCTCCAGACACCTTGTTTGGGTCACAGCTACAGGCCCTTGCTTGCCACCGAGGAAGGAGGTGGCTCTAGATGGCATCTCTGCCCTGTGCAGTTTCCTCTTCTGGAGGGAGATGATTCAGGTGAGCAATGCAGGTGCAGAGCCCAGCCCTGCAGACGTGATCAGAGCCAGACATTTGCAGAGGTGGTTTGGACACCCCATCTCTTTGGGCTCTATCCTGACAAAACAGCAATCTGCAAAATCTGGGAACAAAGTGCCAAATGGGCACTTCCCCTTCTGAGAAGGTCCTTTCTCCCCTAAACCTCAACAGCTGAAAGCAATCCCAAGTCTCAATTAAGTCCTAATGAAGCCCATGATCAGTTTTCAGCCTGATGCACTTCAAGAACTCAGAGATAATCTCCTTCCCTCTCCAACAGGTCATCATAAAATGCTGACAGGCACTCCTCAACTTCTCTCTACTACCTATTTTGCTGAGGAAGAACTCTGCTGTAAGCAGGCCCTTACCTTCCTCAGCTTGTGTAAAAATGGGTTGTTTCTTTTGCTTTATTATATTTAAAATCTTGACTTTTTTTAGTTGGCATAATTCATCATCACTATAATCCACGCTGTTTATTTATGTATATATATATATATAGCACAAAGCAGGCTCAGGTCTAGCCAAACAAATATTGATATTTAAAAAGGAGCTTCCTTAATATATCAAAGCTATTTCAATACATCTCAACCAAAGATTGCACTTTTATAGTAGGGACAATGTTTTTGATCTCTGTGAAATCTCTATTAATCTCAAATAGTCTTTAATGTCAATCTGCAATCTACTTTCTTTGAAGAAAAAAATGAAAGAATTAAACATTTGCCCCATTAGATCAGACAAAGTTTCACATTGGCTTTAACACTAAATTAGTGTTAGGCTGGTTATAATCAGGGTTTTTTTTTTCTATTATTTAAGGATTAAGGCTGTGATTTGTTGAATTATACTTGAACTGGACCAGATGTACTATTTATTGAGCTTATATAATCTTGTTAATTTAAGTTTTGGTTTGTAAACAGTTGAAATTTGTTAGTACTTGTTTAATTATGTAGGAATTGTCACCAATATTAACTGATCTGTGTAACTGATTGCAAAGTGTTTCAATTTGTGTTTCTTAAGAAGAAAGATTTTAATAAAGAGAATTATAAAGCATATACATTGGTGGGCAATTGTCCCAGAAACAACATGCTTCAAACTCTCCAGGGGCTCTATTAAAAATCAAAATGAATAAAAGATAGCTTAAGGAATAAGAATGAAGCAGGGGCACAAAAGGTTTGCTTTTAAATATAATTTTTACAAGTTGTGGTTCGTGGTTCTTGCCAGGGAGCTCCTGCTGTACAGATTGTGAGTGATTGCCATCAGCTGGTGCTGAAGTTGAAGTGAGCACATCTCAGCAATTCACTCTGTAATTATTATTAATTGTTATTACCCACTCCTGTCCCTCTAGATATGTCCTTTTTTCCCTTTTAATTTCCAAATGAACTGGGCAACCTGTCTGTTCCCACTGGCTTTTTGCTGTCTCCATCCAGGTTGTCTTCTCAGACTTCTGAAAGCATCACATAAAATCTTCCCCAGCCAGGAACTTTCTCCATGTAATCTCAACCTAAGTCCCTTAAGTTTGCCCAGTTATTCTGTTTCCTTTGTGCTCTCCCTCTGCCTTTCCTGATTTTTCTTCTTTTCAGCAGTGTCCTCCCCAGTGCCACTCCAGCTATACATGGACCTTTCCCACTCTGGCCTTCTCCCTGGCTCACCACCACTGCCACGAGCCAGAGCTCCTGGGGGGAAATACTCAGCCTCAGCCAGGGTGAACTAAAGACATTCTTTTACTAAATATTTAAAGAATGCAATGAGGACAAAAGCTGAGGGGAGAATTTACCACCAGATTTGATGAATTCATTCAGTTGAAAACATGGGGAGGAAAACTGAGACAAGGCATTGTCTGGTCCATGTGCAAGGCAGGGCATGGGGCAATATCAAGCATGAGCTACACCTCCCACCCTCCTCTCTGGGAGGGAAATGGGTCCTGTCTGCCCCACAGAATGGCTGGGGAAATGGGCAGAAATTCTGGCAGTCAGTTTTCTGACTCTGTAGCTCTTTAAATCACTGTTTTTTAAGTAACTGTTTTGCAGGTGAGGCACATATGCTGTATATTTTAAGCACAAATGGTTTCAGTTCTTCTGTCCTGGATGTATTGAAACCTTTGTGTGATACCATCTCATTGGAGCTGTGAATCTCTCACTCTAGAAATCAGGCAGATGAAATCATGTATCCATAACCAAAGAAAAAATAATCCAAACTGTGGTGGTCAAACACAAAGTTTCAAATCCGGGTTTTGTCACACATAATACTCTTGGTGGAAAAGGGAACTCAGGTCTGGAAAACCTGACAGGTGAACAAATATATCAGCTTGGCCTTTTGACACAAGGCCTCAATTGAACAGCTAGGCTGTGAAACAACAGGACTGTCCAGCCTGCCCCACAGAGCATGTCAAGGCTGTCCCAAAACAGGAGCCTCTGTGGGAAGCTGGCCAGGAAGGAGGACAGGGGCATGCAGGGAGCTGGGGATGGTGCTGCCTGCTTTGGGCCAGGCTGATGTGGGGCTTGGCTGGGGGATGCTGCCCTGGCACATCAGCCGGGCTGACAGGCACTGTGTGGAGCAGCCTTCCCCTCCTGCTTTTTCAGTGCCCTGGGACTCTGCCATGTTTGTGCAGGTGGCAGCGAGGGCAGTCCCAGAGAACAAGGTTTGCCTTGGCTTACTTTCCTACATCCGACTCCACAAATCTGTGTCAACAGGTCGAGCTCTCCTCATGTGCTTTGTTCACTGATGCAATGCTGCATCATGAGGCCATGGGAGCATGTGGTATGTATTTGTGCAGGAAAAGTTCCCCTGGT